GAATGACTGAGTCACATATTCCTGTACTTTCTCTTGGGTTCTTTGCCTTCTATTCCTATATTTTGTTTCATTCTGATCTGTTAGTTTTTATCTTATTAAATTTTAAATTTTATTTTTTGTATTATTTTACTATTATTCCTTAGAAACCTGTTTCTAAGGAAGAAAGAGGACCCAGGTGGGAGGGGAGTTATGGAGGGACTGGGAGAAGTAGAGGGAGGGGAAACTGTAATCAGGATATTTTATGTGAGGGGGGGAAAGTCTATTTTCATTAAAATTTAAAAAAAGAAAAAAGGTCTACCGAGCGAGTTCCAGGACAGCTAGTAGTGTTACATAGAGAAACCCTGTCTTAAACACAGAAAACAGAACAACAACATCAACAAAAAAAACAAAAAAGAAATGGGAGGAAATAATACAGTCAAGACAAGCATGCCTCTGGATGCTATGACGTTTATGCTGAAAATTGAAAGAACACTTTGAAAGTTCATTAAGATAGGAGTTTGCACCTAAAATTAACAGCTTTCTCCAGTGGCTAATACTATTTTTAACAAGTTATTTAATCAACTCGTGCTTCATTTTCCTTATGTATGAAAATGAGATAATACTATTCTTTAATTCAGAATTTTCTGAAGATAAGTGAAGGACATGTATGATGTCCTTACAAGAGCATATAACGGATAGTATGAATGCTAAAATAGAACTATTGAGACACACAAGAAGCCAGAAATATCTCAGTCTGTAGCAATTGAACTCTGGCTGCTTGGAGCCTAACAGAGCCACTTGTGCTGCTTCTGGGAACAGGAGAAAGAAGCAGGTCCGAGTGTGTGGGGTGGGAACCACAGAGAGAAGCCAGTCTGCTCTCACCCTTGACAGCCAATTCTGTGTTGGCTAGACATTGAAAATGTCCTTGTTTCTATGAACAATTCTGTCATGGACAGAGGACAGAAATCCTAAAACCATTTAGGGGAACTGCTTAGTGTTGTGACTTCTTGTTTTCAATCTTTATCCACCTTTCATGTAGTAACAATTGAACACAGCAGCCTGGAAGCTGTGTGTGATCAGAGGCTGCCCTGGCCCTGAAGTGTGCAAAAACTCCAGTCCACGTAAGACACCACGGAAGAAAGGATCATGGAGATATTTTAGGTGGAACAGCACCCAGCAGGCTATCCCTGCATGCCTCAACCTGGTAAAGCCTTATTAACCACTAGATGGACCCTTTAGGGGTATAAAAAACAATTAAACAGTTATCTTTTCTGTAAAACAGAAAGGCTTCATTACACTGTAAATGTTTTTATTATAAGAAGGAACTTAAATCTTTTTATCTCCCCCACCTTGTAAAACTTTTATTTTCACAAAGTCCTTGCTACATTCTTAGAACTGATGTGTCTTAATTTTCCTTCATTTCATTTGTGCTGTCTTTTAAAACTAACCAATCATAAAAGACTGTGGGGTGGGACTCTAGCCAATAGGAAAGACACAGTTATCACCTGCATTAGAATAAAACAGACTAAACTTCCAGGCTCTGATGGTTTGCTCTTCTGCTTTGGTGAGCAGCCTGTGTTTCTGATCGGAAGTAAAGTTTGTCCTTGTTGAGGTCTCTTTCTTTGCAACTTCATATTTACTTCTAACAATGGCAGTCCTCTCTTGGAGGTCACACCCATTATTCACCTTCTGCCTGCCCCCCTTTCTCTTATGTTCTCACCTATAACAAAATTTTTTTCTGAAACTCAACCTACCTTGTCTGTAAAATTCATTCTGTGACATTGCCCTGGGGTGACTTTGGAGGCCACTGAATGTCTTGGATCCTGGTATACCCCATCCTCAAATTATTCTCACCTGAGATGTCTGTCTCATGACCCTGCCTTCCTCTTCCTCTTTCAAACAATTAAGTCTGAATCCCCATTTACCCATGGAGCTGAGCCCTCAATGAACAAATTTACTATCTAAGAAGACAGTGAGATGTCTGCTTCTTACCCTCCCACAGAGGACCTGACTAGATTACTCCAGAGGTAAGACCAAATAAGTCCCTAACTATTATAATATACCCTCCATTTCTTCTCAGGAGGTGGTTCTCTCTGAGAATTCACCTTCTGTGTTCCTGTCACTCATACAGCATATGTCCTTTATTAAAACTTTTGTATTGATTCTAGCCTTGTAAGTACCTCCATCTACATTCTGTTCCTGGCACATCAATAACCAAATTATTACTTGGTTGAGTATTTCTTGAATAAATTCAGTTATGGATTCTCTTTAAACACAGGTCGTTTGTGATTGCAATCAACCCTCACTTTGAAGGTGGAGTTAAGCATGTGCTTAGTCTTTTCTCAACTTGATCTTTAATAGTTTAGCAAGATATTTTGACAGGCATTTTTTTCTGAGAAAAACACGTGTCTTGATCCAACACGTCTATAAATGTTATGAAACACCAAGCATCAACCCGATTCAGTCAAGTTAAACTTATACAAACAAAACATAAAGTTTAAGACAAAAAGCCAAAGAACTCTCTTCTCTAAGATGACCTATACTTACAGGATAGTCTGAGACCAACCTAGTTTACAGAGTGAGTGCCAGGACAGCCTAGCCCTATCTCAAAAAACAAGAACAAAACAAACAGACAAACAAAATTAATAGTTTTCTTGAGAGTCCTAATAAAAATATAAAGCCAGTGGGATGTTCCCACTTACGTTTTCACTGCGCTTTAGTGTTTCTCTTAATATCTTCAATTTTCCTTGATTTTCTGAATGTTTTCCTTTAAGTTTTCTAAGCCAGTGACAATTAAAATAAAAATTCCAAAGGAGTAAAGCCAAAGAGGAAAAGCTACAAAAATCCCATTTGATTTTCCTACCCTTACCCCCTTCCTTATTTCCCAGCCACTAATCCCCTCTCAAAGAGCACAATAGAGCAGCCAGACATAAAGAAGAGAGATAAAGTTGGCCAGCTACTACATTGTGCTTGCTAATCTGAACCATTTACATAAGGGTTAGGAGGCTTGTTTTATCATTTAAACAGACTTAAAAGCCTTTGCAAATGAGATTTAGTTCCTACAAAAGAATGAATTGGTGCTATTTGGCCAGTTGCTTCTAGCCCAGAGCTGACTTGGCAGTAACCAAGCTGCTTCTTGGGCCACATGTAGTGTAAGCAAAGATTGCTTCCAGTTACACAAACCTGGAAGCCTCAAACTGATTAAATTCTTACCAGGAGGTGAGCAGGATGAGGACCAGGCCCAATGGCCAATTATACCAGAACTTGAGCTCTACCTGAACAAACACTTTTTAGGCAGGTGCTTCCAAGGTGGCTGAAAAGTTTCTATACCCTGATAAGCTTCTCTGCCTGCTGATGTAGCAATTCAAATCAGACCAAATCAAACTGAATTATAAAGAGGCCACATTTAATGGATGCAATGCTCCTGGACAGCCTCTCCCACACAACCACCCCCCACCCGCGCGGG